GTGGGAGAGACTGTGGCGGTTGCGGCTGGAGAGATTGGGCTGCTGCTGCTGCTGGAAGCACCACCGATGCTGGTGCGGTTGCTGCGGCTGGAGAGATTGTGGTGGCTGCTGCTGCTGGAAGCACTGCTGCTGCTGCGGCTGAAGAAACTGTGGCTGCCGCTGCTGCTGGAAGGAAGGCTGCTGCTGCTGCGGCAAAAGGAACTGTGGCGGCTGCTGCTGCAGGAAGGACTGCTGCTGCTGCGGCGGGAGGAACTGTGGCAGCTGCTGCTGCTGGAAGGACTGCTGCTGCTGCGGCTGGAAGGAGTGCTGCTGCTGCGGCTGGAAGGACTGCTGCTACTGGGGATGGAAGGACTGCTGCTGCTGGGGATGGAAGGACTGCTGCTGCTGGGGATGGAAGGACTGCTGCTGCTGGGGATGGAAGGACTGCTGCTGCTGGGGATGGAAGGACTGCTGCTGCTGGGGATGGAAGGACTGCTGCTGCTGGGGATGGAAGGACTGCTGCTGCTGGGGATGGAAGGACTGCTGCTGCTGGGGATGGAAGGACTGCTGCTGCTGGGGATGGAAGGAATCCTGCTGCTGGGGATGGAAGGACTGCTGCTGCTGGGGATGGGAGGACTGCTGCTGCTGGGGATGGAAGGACTGCTGCTGCTGGGGATGGAAGGACTGTTGCTGCTGGGGATGGAAGGACTGCTGCTGCTGGGGATGGAAGGACTGCTGCTGCTGTGAATGAAAGGACTGCTGCTGCTGGGGATGGAGAAACTGTGGCGGGTGAGGCTGGAGAGATTGCGGCTGCTGTTGGTGTAGGAAGAACTGCTGCTGCTGCGATTGCTGCGGCTGGAGGAGATGTGGGGGGTGCGGCTGGAGAAATTGTGGTTGCTGCCACTGCTGGAGGTGCTGCTGCTGCTGATGCTGGAGCTGCTGGAAACGCCGCAGATGGGGAGGGGGGGAGGAGGATGTGAGCAGGCGGAGATAAGGGGGGGGGGGGAGTGGAGGGTCGGAGTGTTGAGAAGGGAGGGGCGAGGAGCAACACTGCTCCAGTGAGGAGAGGGGAGAGGGGCAGGGGGAGTAGCAGTCATGATGGGTGACGGCGGGTGGACCCGCGGCGGCCAAGGGTGAAGTTGCTGCTGCTGAGGCTGCTGCACTTCCCCTGCTGCCGCTGGCAAGAGGAGGGAGGGGGGGTGTAAAGGAGGGAGACAGCGGTGGAGGGCAGAGGCGTTCAAGGTGCAGGGAGCGACGCCGACAAGGTCGCAGGCGGCTGTGCGAACGTGCGGCGGCGGGAAGGGGAGGCGGTGGCAAAGTCGGGGGCGGAGGCGGCAAGCAGGCCGCGACAACGAAGGGCGCAGGCGACAGCGGAAGGGCCGCAGCGGCGATGTTGAGAGCGGCGGCTGCAAGCAGGTTGCGGCAACGGAAAGGTGAAGGCGGCGGGGAAATGGCTGCGGCGGCGAAACGAGGGATGGCGGCGGCAGACAGGCCGCGGCAACGAGGGGCGCAGGGGGAGGGGGAGGGGTGGGGGAGAGGAGTAGGGAGAGGAGGAAGGGAGGGTGCAGTTGCGGCTGAATCTGCAGGCGGCGACGGGGCAGTCACGACGGCAGGAAGTGTGGGCGGGGATGGCGCGGTCGCAGTGGAGGATGGGCAGGCAGCGCCGAAGCAGTGGCATCGGCAGGGCGGCGGCGGCGCAGTCGCGTTAACGAGAACCGCGGGGTGACGATGTTGCAGTTGCGGCGGTGGCAATTGCGGCGGGGGAAATTGCGGGCGGGGGGCGAGGGAAGGTGACGACGAGCAGTCGCGGCGGCGGAATGCGCAGGCGGCGATGTTAGGTCGCGGCGGCGGGACGGGCAGGGGGACGACGAGCTGTCGCAGTGGCGGAATGCGCAGGCGGCGATGTTAGGTCGCGGCGGCGGGACGGGCAGACGGCGCCGAAGCAGGCGCGGCGACAGGAAGGGGAGGCGGCGACGTGACGTCGCGGCGGAGGGACGGGCATGCGGCGACGAGGCGTCGTGGCGGCAGGATGCGCAGGTGGCGGTGAAGCAGGCGCGGCGGCGGGAACGCGACGACGAGACGTCACGGCGGAGGGACGGGCAGGCGGCGACGAGGCGTCGCGGCGGCAGGATGCGCAGGTGGCGCCGTAGCAGGCGCGGGGGCGGGAACGCGGCGACGTGACGTCGCGGCGGAGGGACGGGCAGGCGGCGACGAGGCGTTGCGGTGGCGGGATGCGCAGGCGGCGCCGAATCAGGCGCGGCGGCGAGAGGGGGAGGCGGCGACAGGGGGTCGCGGCGGGGGGGAGGAGGGGACAGCGGCGTTGCGCTCGCGGCGGTGGTATCCGCAGGCGAGGAAGGCGTAATCGCGGCGGGAGGGGGGGGGGGGGGGGGGGGGGGGGGAGAACGGCGGCGACGGCGTAGGTCGCGGCGAGAGTATGCTAGTGATGGCTAGTTGAGCCACGCGTAGGAAAGGGTTTGTAGCTATGGGGTGGGTCCATTGGAAAAAAAAAAAAAACTGAAGGGAGGGAGAGGTAAGGCCTAGGAACAAGTAGCTCTATACCATGTTAAAGTAGCAAATTGAACAAGTGGCTTGATTAGAGGAGAAACCTAGCATACATAGTTGGAAGAGAGGCTTGGAAGAGAAGGGTGAAGGTGACCATAGGTTGGGTTGACCTCACTTGTAGAAGTGAGGCAACCCTTGGCCCACTTGGCTTGAGATGACCTCACTTTTGGGAAGTGAGGCACCCATAAGCCAAGTGGGCTGCATTTGGGGGCTCCACCACAATTGGGTGGATTGGCACCCCAAAGTGCAAGACTACACCCAAAGTTGGGTGTAGTCCCAACCCAACTGTACACCACAATTGGTGTACAGTCACATGTGTTGGCATGCTACAGAACATATATTTTAACACTATATTGTCGCTCTATTTTTCTCCTACCGCAATTCTCCGTGCTGCAGGCGCACGCCTTGCATTTAGCACGTCCCATCAGCCATGGCTCGGATGACTGCAGCGGCCATGCTGCTGCCAGGGCTGCTCGTCGCCCTCCTTCTCAACGCTGCCGTTGCTGCTATCAACACCATCAAGCCGCTTGGCAGGGATGCCTGGCAGGCCACCATCGCAGAGGACGTGAGTAAATGACGTGCTTGACATATGTTCATGAAATGTGTGACTTGCACTTTCAAGGTTGCCTTGCCTTTACTGGTGTATCCGCCGCAGCATGCATCCCACATTGCACTAACGGCCCGCGATTCATCCATCCTCTCACCCTCCCCTCATTTATGCTCGCAACACTTCCTCCTCGCCCTCGCCCCCTCCCCCTCCCCCCCTCACCCCCTCCCTCTCCCCCCCCACGTTCCCCCCCCTCCCCCATGAACCCATCATAGCCATTTCCCCCGCTGAGTCTATGTGCACATGCTTGCGTATCGGCCTTTGCACCATGCATGTGTTGTGTGCCTCGCAGTTCAATACCACTTCCACGTCTCAGAGCGGCGCTTATAGGCCTGCCATGCATACCCATGCAATTGCCGCCTACCTTCAACATGCCCACGCTCTGAGCGTGTCTCTTCACTCCCTCCACACCCTGGTGCGTGTTGAATTGAATGAGGTGTTGGGGAACTCACAAAAGGATCTGTTGTTCCGTTTAGTTGTTGTAACTTATCGCCCTTACACTCTTACTCATGTGTCACTGTTTCCACCCTGTTTGACCCACGCCTACAGCCGTTGCTGCCCGTGCTATATCTTATCATCGCCGCTCTGCTAACACTGCTGTGGGGGATGGGCGTGACCCACACGCAAGTCAGAGCATGGGTGCATCAGCAGGGCTTGGCTGTGACGGCTGGGCTGATGAAGTTGAAGAGTGCAAGCAAGTGCCTCTAGGTATGCCATGCGCTCTGCCCTCCCAAACTCGTTTTTTTCCCTTTTGAAGCTATCTACCACCACTCCCCCTCCCCCATCACTCATGTTTCCTATGCTGCCACATAAACTCCTCTCCCATTTCTCATCCTCCCATGCGCTCTACCCTCAAGCTTTCTTATGTGCCAATCCTCCCTGTCAACCTCGAATGGTCAACCTCTCTCTCCCACTCCTTTGTGTGCTTCTCTTCCTCGCCCTCACTTCCTCTCCACCACTCATCCCGCCTTCTCTACCTTGCTCTCACCTGCAGCCACGTGGATTTTTCTCTCTGCTCCACAGCCCCATGTAAGCCTGCCCATCCTCAGCAACGTTCAACTCATTTCTCACATGAACATGCATCTAGTGATTCCAACAATCTGTGTGAATCTAACAATGTACTTTATCTTGTCTTATTGAGCTTAAGTTTGATTTGTTGTTTTATTATGGTTTTATCTCATTGCTTCTGACTGGCTCTCACATGTCCCGAACTAGACATGGGCAAAGAGTCAAGTTTTTAAGCTCGACTCGATCGGGGGACTCGTTACTGGTCGAGTGTCGAGTGCGATTCCCCCTTGGAAAAACTCGACCAGGCCGAGTCGAGTTTTACCCGCCGAGTTTTTAAAAAACTCAGTCAAGGCTCGGGCCCCATGGCGAGTTTTTTCCAGACTCGTCGAGTTTTCTGGACTCGACGAGTCTACGAAAACTCGTCGCGACATTGGGGAGGGGTGGGCATACAAATTTCGAAATTTGAAGTTTTGCGGGTCCATTTTCAAATCGAGATTTCAGTCAGTCACCTTCCCCAACATGTCGTCCGTAGTTTCCAGAGCCAAACCAGCCAAACGCCCGGCTGTTTTTTCTTCTTAAACTTCCGATCGCCATAGGGGCAACGTAGATCTAGGTTCACACTTAGTTAGGGTCGCGGTTTTATTGTATGGTTGATTTCGATTAGGGTTTGAGGAAGAGGAAACGCTACTTTCTATTAACTTAACGGTCGATCTACTGATTTAGCATGGCGAAGGCCAAGCACATGGCAAGTAAGAACCCCAAAGGCGGAAAAGGGGGGGCGGGAGGAACCCACCGTGGCGATCATGTGGGAAGGGCGGAGGAGGAAGACCAGGTGGAGACGGCTATGGGGCACCGCAGGCTCCGTGCTATTGCTGCGGCTACAGAGGCGGAGCACTTGCAGAAAGCGTCCGAGGACAACCTCGGCTCAGGCGAGAAACGGGTAAACAACGGCGTGGGAGAAAAGGGGACGGGTATGGTTCCTCCTCCACGTGGTAGTGGTTGTATGTGGGGGGGCGGCGTTGAAGGGGGGGCTGAGGGGGAAGAGACCACTCCTATTGGTGGTTGTGGCGAGGTTGGGGAGGATGTGGAGAGGAAGAAGTCATGGGGTATGCACGGTGTTATAGGCGATGCTGAGGACGGCGAGTTAGGGACTTCCGAGGGCCTTGGTGACAACGGCATGGCCGATGATGGTGCGGGTGATGAGGAGAGGGAGGTGGAAGACAATGAAGGGTCGGAGGAGGGTGGCGATGAAAAAGAGGAGTCCGAGAATCAGTCGGAGGAGGACGGTGACAACTCTGAAGAGGAGATGTACGCTCCCACGGATGAGGAGCGTGCTCGAATGCGAACAGAAAGGTGAACCGTTGACGATGAGATGGATGATTTGGTGGTGGAGGAGGGAGATGAGCTTGGAGAAGGTGGAGGTGTCGGTGGGAGGAAGAGGAGTCGTGGTGATGGGGGGGCGGGAAAGAATCAACGTGGCGGGCCTAACGGTGGTGGGAGGGGGTGGAAGGGGAAAGGGAAAGGGGGCAGGGTTCGAGGTAGTGGAGGTAGTGGGTTTAGGGCAGGCGGGGGGAGCGGATTGGGCAGCCAGCCAATGCCTGGCCCTTCAAATCCATCGATTGCCACCCATGCCCCCACACCTACAGCAACCCCCACTCAGGCTGTGAAGGGGAAGGTTCCTCGCTGTTTTGAGCGGCCCGTGCCTGACAGACCGGACTTGAAGCGCCGGTGCCGCAAGTGCAGCAAGTGGATCAGCTTTGCGGGTGGCACGAACTCAACTGGAGAGGGGCACATGATCTCCAAGCACAAGGCACATTGGGACATATGGGATCGGAAGTGGAAGGCGGGGGAAATTGGGCCGAATGACTATTTTCCTGAGGGGGGATATGGGACAGGTGAAGTACCGGACGGGAGGAACCCTTGGATAGGCTCGTTGACGTGGCCCGCGCCGCCTCCCACCCATGGTGCCGCGTTAGGCCAGCAGCCGATGACAGCGTACTTTGGGGAGCGCTTCGACAAGAATGCCCTGCAGCAAGCGCTGATTGAGTTCGTGGTCGGGACGGACCAGCCCTTCAGTGTCGTCGAGCATCCCACGGTGCGTCAATGTCATTGCATTGAACTCTACCTGCCTGCCAATGCTAATGCCACCTTACATTATCAACACACCTATCAAGGGTTTTTTACCTTCCCACACCACATGCAGTTTCTGCAACTCATGGTGACGGCCAACCCCCAGTGTGGCGAGGAGCGTGTCATCCTGACACGCGCCACGCTCGCTCGCCAGCTCATGCGCCTGGCTAAGTTGGCTCAGGAGAGGCTGAAGGCCGAGCTTCATGCTGAGGGTGTTGGAACAGTAGCGATGACACATGACATTTGGACCGGGGCGGACCACAGGGCTTACATGGCGGTCACGGGTCACTGCCTGACAGCTGACTTCGAGCTCAGACAGGTTACCCTAGACTTCAGGGTGCTGCCGGCCGAGCACACGGCGGAAAAGATAGTGGAGGTGTTGGAGGATGTGGTGCGCGATTGGGAACTGGAGGGGCGCACCATCGCGGTGACTACGGACAATGCATCGTCCAATGTCGCCGCGATGGAGTACTTGTGCCGTGGAGGAGCTGGAGATCGGCAGCCTCGCATGTTCTCCTCGGGGTTGCACGTTCGGTGAGAGCACAACACGCACTCACACTGCACGTGCTTCGCGTATGTTATGTTGTGATTGATTGCTTGGTTTGTTGTTTCCGTTCTGTAACGACTTGTGACCCATTCTGACTTACCATCCCAAGGCATGTGCCTTCATCTTCCCCCAACAATGGCACAGGTGCCTCGCTCACATCTGCAACCTAGCTGTTCAACTAGCGTTGAAGAAAGTGACCAGGATCGCAAAGCCGTTGGCACTCCTCAGGGAATTGGCGAGCTTCATTGGCTATTCGCCAAAGCGGACAGGAGCATTCGAGGGCATCCAGAGGGAGGAGAACCAGCGAGAGCTGACCCGGGCGCTCCTGAGGCTGCGTATGGATAGCGAGAATCGTTGGGGTTCGACGTACCTGATGATCGAGCACGCCATTCGCCTCCGGCATGCCATCGAAACGTTTGTGCAGCGTGCACCTGTATGATCTTGACCCAACCCTCCTAAACCCTGTTGGCGCATGTTTATGAATCTTGCAAGTGACTCGGCCTATGTAACGCTCAGTGTTATACGACCTTTACGCGCGGTACCATCAACTCAACCTTTCACATCCCACTTATGCCCACATCACATCACAACCCTTTTCAAAACCAACAGCATTGCAACGCTAAGGACGCTGCACGCCTACAGGGATTGCAGATCATGGAGCTCGCCAACTTCCTGCAACCCTTTCACGCTGTCACTCTTGCTGCTGAGGGATCCACCTACCCCACCATCAACAGGGTGGTCCCACAGTTTAACGAGCTCCTGGACGAGCTCGAGAGGATGAGGGATAGCACGACCAATCCACCCTCCCAGGTCGTGCTGGGATGCATTGAGGCCGCCCTGGGGAAGTTGGCAGACTACTAGGATGGCAGCAGCGATGAGCTGATGATCGCCACATTCCTGGACCCGAGCTTCAAGCTCGGGTACTTCGAGCTTCCAGTGGACGAGGAAGGGAGAGAGGATGGGGGGGAGATGAGGGAGGGTGGGGAGGGGGAGGCAGCAGCGCCATCGCCGCACATTGATGCTGGGAAGGTCCTTGCCACTGTACGAGCAGCGTACCGCCCGTACTTCGAGAAGGCGCGGCAGGCCAAGGAGAAGAGGGAGGGGAGAGAGGGGTTGGTGAGGGCAGGGGGCCAGAGGGCATTGGCAGGCACCAGCAGCAGGGTTGTGGGGAGCAGCAGCAGGGGGGGAAGGGGCCTAGGCTCCAATGCCTTAGGTGGACAGGTGGGAGATCGTAGGGGCCTGGTGGCTCGTCTGGCGGCGTACCGCGACCGTCAGGCGCCCACGGTCACTGACGAGATTCAAATTTACCTGGGGGAGCATTTGGAGTCGCTGGACACTGACCCGCTCGCGTACTGGCGCCGCTGGACAGACCTTGAGGGTCTTCAGGCCATGGCCTTGGATTACCTTGCCATCCCAGCTACGTCGTCTGCTAGCGAGCACCTATTCTCACAGGGGGACGCAACCTCCTTCATTGGCAGCGGCATAGGCTTGGGCCTGAGCGGGTGTGGGCATGCATGATCCTCAAGTCGTGGATCGACTTGCATCCAGGGTGCCAGCTTGGGAAAACGGCCAAGGTTTGCTTGGAGAAGGCAGAGAACGAGGCGGTTGGGTTGGAGACAGAGGACGTCGTGTGAGGAGGTTTAGTGTGGGAGGTGGTAGAATTGAGATTTATTTATGCAAACCTATGGTCATGCCGTTGCTTTTGTGCCCTTCAACTTCCCCAAACGCTCACCAGGGCGACAGACCTGGCTTTCCTAACCATTGCATGCATGGTAGACTAATTTATTGTTATGCCGTTGCCTGCATGCCTTTGCTGCTGAAAGGTGAGTAGATTGTGTGCATCAAGTGCGCATTGCTGTTTGGGAAGGGTCCAAGACTTGTACTAGTAGATGGCGTATAATAGTGTAGGAAAGAAGCCTCAATTCCAGCTTTTATATGATGTATCCCCTCCCCCCCCTCTGAGAAGAAGTGAACGAGAATGAATGAACTATGAATGAAGTGAGTACAAATAAGAAACCCTAATTGGGTTGTACCCCCTATGGGATACCCCACTATAGCCTACACATTAGCATAAGCTCTAAAGTTCTGACACACCCCCATACGCAAAGTGGGGGAGAACAAGGGGTCACAAGACCAGTCAAGCAAAGCAAAGCAAAGCTCAGGGTGGATCACAAAGTCACCACACATTCCGAGCACAAGTTCAAAGGCCACAAGGCCAGTTCACATGCAAGATCATATATAGAGATATACAAGAGTCAAGGAAGCAAGAACAAGAGTAAATATAGGTGAAGGTACAAGCAAGGTCAAGAAGTGAGTAAGTGAGGCAAGACAGGCACAAGACCCAGCTGCGTGCCGCAGCGCTGATGATCACAAGGCGCAAGTGCCTTGGTGAAGACATCAGCAGTGTTGGCCTCAGAGGCCACGTACGCAAGTCGCAACTGTCCACGCTGCTGTAGCTCACGAGCAAGAAAGTAGCGGAGAGCAATGTGCTTTGTCCTGTGCTCCAGTCGCTGCTCTCGACACAAGGCCAGCATGGCCTTGTTGTCTACGTACAGGAATGGAGGAGAACGAGGCGGCTCTCCAAGGTCGGTCAGCAGGTAGGTGAGCCAGCGAAGCTCCTGAGCAGCCATGGCCCCTGCGTAGATCTCAGCCTCACAACTGGAGCCGAGAACAGAAGACGAGCGAGTAGCCCTCCACGAAACAGAGCCGGAACCAAGGCTGAAGGTGTAACCCTGTGACGACCGCTGCGTAGCCTGGTCGTCAGCCCAAGAAGCGTCTGCGTGTCCAGTGAGGACCACTGGACTCCGCCCTCCAAGCACTAGCCCCATGCCCGACGTACTGCACAAGTAGCGCAACACCCTCTTCGCTGCAGCCATGTGCTCTGGTCGGTGTCTCCCAGGAGCAACATAGCGTGCAAGAATGCTAAGAGGGTATGCAAGGTCAGGTCGAGTGCAGGTCATCAGGTACATGAGACAGCCAACAAGCTCTGGGTACGGGCCACTCGACTCTACGGACTCATCCGAAGGCAGAGCTGAGAGCGAGTGGCGAGTAGACAGAGGAGTGGCCTGAGGCGAGGAGTACGTGAAGCCGAAGCGCTGAAGGACCTGCTGCACCATGTGTGACTGAGTCAGGGTAATGGTGCGGCGTGCTCTGTCCCGGGTGATCTGCAAGCCAAGGTAGCTGCGCAGTTCACCCAGGTCAGTGCACGTGTGTCTCTTCTGCAGCTCGGACTTCACGTAGGCGAGTCCAGTAGTGTCAGCTGTGGCAAAGACCAAGTCGTCGACGTACACGAGGATGTAGAACGGCGGTAGAGAGGTGTCGGTGCGCAGAAACAGAGACGGGTCGGCAGTAGAAGGAGCAAACCCAAGTGCCGCCAGCGTAGTCCTCAGTGTGTCGTGCCACTCACGTGGCGCCTGGCGGAGACCGTAGACTGGACGCCGGAGACTCCACTGGGTACGAGGAGGGAAAGACCCAGTGAAGCCAGGTGGGCGACGCAGCGAGATCTCCTCGTGCAGGCTGCCCTGCAAGAAAGCAGTGCTGAAGTCGAGAGAGTGCAGCTCGTAGTCACGGTGAGCAGCAACGTGCAGCAGTACCCGAAGAGTGGTCATCTTCGGGGTGGGGGAGAAGGTCTGAAAGTAGTCAACTCCCTGCCGCTGACTGAAGCCACGAGCCACGTAACGCGCCTTGAAGACAGGCGGAGAACCCAGCGGCCGCTTCACCCTGAAAATCCACATGCCACTCACGATGTTCGCCCCAGGAGGGGGGACAGCGTCAACGTAGGTGCCTGTGGACTTCCAGGAAGCCATCTCTGCATCCATAGCTGCCTGCCACTGAGAGGAGTAGGGACCCTCTATCGCCTCCGCGTAAGAGCGCGGAGTCGGGATGTCTAGTGCATCCGGGTCTCCCTCAGGGGCGAGCAGTACAGACGCTAGATGAGGTGAAGCGGCGGCCAGACACTGGAACTCCTCCTGCCTGTCCTCAAGGACGTCCGTGCCAAGGGCACACTCACCCCCGACGGACGGAGAACAGGCAGATTCAGACTCAGCGACAAGACTAGCAGCGTAGTCTAGACGACAGCGCGCGGCAAAGTCAACGAGCTCAGTGACAAGGGCAGACGCAGCAGAAGACTCGAAAGAGGGGTCAGTGACAGCAGTAGCAAGGAGACGCGTGACAGTAGGACTGGCAGCACGAAGAGAGTCCGACTCCGGGTCGGCAAGAGTAGGAAGAGAGGAAGCAGGAGGAGAAGGCAAAGGGGCACGCAGAGGAGCAGTGGACGGACGCAGAGACATCCGGTGCGTGCCAGGGACAGGAGGACGACGGTGACGTGAACCGCGACCACTAGTGCGCGCAGGACGATCAGTACGCAGGACGAGACGCAGGCTCACGACGCTCAATAAGACCTCCAGTCGGACCAGCGTAGGGAGAAGGAGCAGGCAAAGGGGAAGCAGGCTGTAGCTGTGACTGTGACTGGACAGGCTGTGGACCCTCTAATGGAGGAGGAGGAGGACCAGGAGAAGGTGTAAGACCAAGAACCTGCTGCAGAATTGGAACGAAGTACGGTCGGGCCGCGTGGCGACGCTAGAAACAGCAGGAACAGCACCAGTACCCCCAGCAGGAGTACCCGCTCCAGCAGCACCTCCAGCAGCACCTCCAGTAGCTCCAGAACCCCCAGCAGCACCTCCAGTAGCCCCAGAGCCCCTAGCAGCACCAGGAGCACTGCCACCCGGACCGCCAGCGGTAGTCTCAGCGCCAACACCCTCAGCAGCACCAGCTCCAGGAGAACCCTCAGGCCCAGCAGCTCCAGTACCCCCAGTACGAGCACCTCCGGGACGCGCGGCAGCAGCACCCTCAGCAGCCGAAGAACCTCCAGCACCAGCAGCACGCCTCCAGCGCCGGGCAAACCACCCACGCAGCTCCTGTGGGGAGAGTGGCTCTCGGCGAGACGAAGCACCTCCAAGCGGAGAACCTCCAGGCGAAGAACCTCCAGGCTCAGGACCCTCAGGCAAAGCACCTCTAGGCGGAGCACCTCCAGTCTCAGCACCCCCAGGCTCAGCACCCCCAGGCTCAGCACCCCCAGGCTCAGCACCCCCAGGCTCAGCACCCCCAGGCCCAGCACCCCCAGGCTCACCACCCCCAGGCTCAGCACCCCCAGACTCCGCACCCCCAGGCTCAGCACCCCCAGGCACAGCACCCCCAGTCACAGCACCCCTAGGCTCAGCACCCACAGCAGCACCAGAGTCACCAGTGACCTCGACAGACTCGACCGCGTCTACCTGAGACACATCTGAAGGGGCAGGACCCTGAGGGGGAAGTGGGTCAACCGGGGGGGGACCTGGTACCAAGAAGAGCGGGGGTGGGGGGAGGGACGGAGTGCGGTAGGGGAAGAGGCGGTAGTAGGGTACCGACTCGTCGAACGTGACGTCATGGGAGGACAGAACACGGCGAGAGGTGGGGTGGTAGAACTGCCACCCACGGGCGTCGAGGGGGAACCCCAGGAAGACGCAGGGAGCAGCGCGAGGGGACAGCTTGTCCGCAGACAAGTCGCGGACAAACGCCCGAGATCCCCAGACCCGGAACGCCGACGCATCGCCAACCTTCCCCGTCCACAGCAAGGCTGGGGAGGTCTCCGGCCTGGAGACCCTGGGGTGGAGGTTGATCTGATGCGCCGCGTACCTGACCGCAAACGGCCACAGAAAATGGGGGGCAGCCGCATGCATCATAGACGTACGAGCGACGTCCATGACCATGCCAATGCGGCGCTCTACAATCCCATTTTGCTGCGGTGAGTCCGGAAGCGTGAAGGTCTGGCGGATGCCTCACGCACGACAGTAGGCACGTAGAAGGCCAGAGGAGAACTCTCA